CATGGTCCAGTTAGCACCAGCGTGGTCTTGTTAGCAGGTCCAGTCACTAGCATGATGATAATAAGGACTGCAACAGATGCCTCCCAGACTGCCCTTCAGAACTGGGTCCAGCAGACAGAGTACATCCAACGTTCCCCTGCGGAACCAAGCGGGTCTGCAGAGTTCGCAGTCCGCATAACATTGTGGTTACGTTTTGGTACCTTCAGTCCAATAACATGCTAAACAATCTAACCTGACACATTTCCATTGCTTATAAATCAGACTAAACCTGAACTGTATTTTCATTTGCAAAATTGTAAACAACATAATATGACTTCTGAAAAATATTCCACTCTCAAAGCCCCATTTTCAAGTGCTTTTCAAGGTAATTAAAATTTACCAGCTCTGCCGTTGTCCTCATTAAAAGTCCAACCAGGGCCTTAGGATGGTAAAAGATGGTAAAAGACACAATATTTGTTCTGGTCAATGCAACTTTCCCTTTTTTAGCATACTACTTATTATTTAGGTTCTCTAAACTGGAAGTTTCATGTAAAAAGGTCAGATTCTGCTTATTAAAAGAAGAAAAGAAACCCTGTTTATTCTATTAATTATTCATTTTTTAAATTATGTTGAGAGTCACATGACATATTTATATATTTTAATAGTCAACAGTTCATTGTGATTTTTTTTGTTTGTTTGTTTTCAATGTCACAAGTTAGTTTAACCTTACGACAGTTTGTTTTTTCTTACAGACATATGCTAACTTTTTTTAATCTACAAAATGTTTGTTAAAAGTTTTGACATTTTTAACTAAACGTATACAATGCAGAAAGATAGATAATCTAATATTGTCTCTGAAACTGACAAACCAAAGGAAGCTGGATGTTGCAGCAAAATATTACCTCTGCATATGAAATTTTTAAATCTACATCGTAGGAAAAAATGTGAAACTTTCTCAACTTCTCAAAATGGGCACATTTTTAATGGTACTCTTATGTAAATTTAGATCCTATCAACATTAGCAGCAAAGCAGCAAACTTTATCAGCAACTTGAGAGGCAAGAATGTACAAGATGTTTTTCTTTTTGATTAAATGAAACTATCCTAATAAGATCATAATTATGGGAAGAATGAGTCATACTGTGTGCACTGATGACTGTGTCAGTGTCACTGGTTTGCATCATAAGGTGTGAAGATACTCACAATTAAATAGAAAGTGAGAATAGTCTTAATTCTTTCATTGTTTCAAATTAAAAAAATAAACGCCTGAATCAGTGCAGCAAGTTCAGATTTGAACCTTGTGCGCAAAAAAAAAATAAAAAAATGTATTTTTTTGTTCACATTTGTTTGTTTCAGGGAATAAATCACACTTCAAATACTTAATAACATATTTGCTAGTTAAGCACAAACGTCACAACCATAGTCCTTCTTATCTTGATCATTTTCCCCTTTAACTGTGCTTACAGTTACTCTTATTTGCTGTCTTCTCACAAAAACATAATTCAAAGTTAACTCCTGAAGACAAATAAATGGAGGTGAATTACATTTAAAGACGTGCACTATACCAAACCTGATCCAGCACAGGCTGCCCTATGCAAAATCAGCCATGTTTGCCCCGAAGACTCTCTGCTCTCTGGGGAGAGGAGCCATCGAGCGGCATTATCGACATTATAGACGCCTCAGCCTGGAGATAGGCTTCACATTGATCCCCTGATTAATTACTATCTGCAGGCAGCAGCACAGTGAGGAGGAGTACACGAGACGGGCGAGAAGACGAGAGGAAAAGTGTGAGAAGGAGGAGAGACCGAGGAGGAGAGGGATGAAGGATTGGAAGAGTCCACCTTGGATTATCTATATCAGCTAAAGGCTACATAGTAATCTTCTAGGTGGAATATTATGTATTGATATGAAAGTAGGCTGGAAAGCTTATCTGAGCTGCTACCATTTCCTAACACAGCCAAGGACAAAATGAAATTTACACATTATCGGGGTTGGAAACAACTCCCAAAGACGAGTAGAGGACACTGGAAAAACCACCAATGGATTCCCAACCAGGTTATACAGCATTACTCTGTAAATAACAGTGAAAATACTACCAGGAGTGGAACTGTGGACACCAGGCTGAGTGGATAGCATTAATGAAGTCTACTCAAATCCTCTGGGCTGCACTCCTCTACCTCCCAAATGACTGTTGGGCTTTGTGCAACACGAGTCAATAAGTTGTTACGACACTAGTGTGAGCACTACGTTCAAGACTGGGTGGTACATTTGAATGACATGCAGCTAAGCTATTTTTGGTTGTGCATCATTTCAAAAGCTGCTGGCAAGTCATTCATTCATTCAACCTTTATTTATACAGGTTAGTCTCATTGAGCCTCGAGGACTCATTCACAAGCAAGACCTGTTTTTATCAAAGAATGATGACAAGAGTATGACAACAGTAGACAATCATAAAATAAAGCATACAAATAGAAAAAATAAAAAGGAGAAAATTATATGTATATATATATATATATATATATATATATATATATATATATATATATAAAGAAACAAAAACAGCTACATTGTAAAGCAATGTAAAACAGGAACATGTCTGCATTGGTTTTTGCCATGAACTTAGCAGAT